CGAGAATTTCTCTAGGTTGGATTTGTACTTTTCAATTCCAAATTGATTGTTCTTATTGCATTTATGGTTCGGACTTTGGATTTTCTCTGTATTAGCGATTTTTTCAACAAAATCAAAATTTCTCTAGAGAGAAAGTGAGAATTTCTCTAGTAGGTCTCTGATTGTTCAAATTTCTCTGGTATTGGATTTTCTCTACATTGGCAATTTTTTCAACAAAATCTAAATTTCTCTGAGAGAAATAGAGAATTTCTCTGGGTTTGATTTCTACTTTTCAACTCCAAATTGGTTGTTCTTATTGCATTTATGGTTCTAACTTGGATTTTCTCTGCATTAGAAATTTTTCAACAAAATAGAAATTTAGAGAAATAGAGAATTTCTCTATTAAGTCTCTGGTTGTTCAAATTTCTCTGGTATTGGATTTTCTCTGCATTAGCGATTTTTTCAACAAAATCGAAATTTCTGTAGAGAGAAACAGAGAATTTCTCTGGGTTAGAAAGAATTTCTCTGGTCCAGAATTTTTTTGGTCCAGAATTTCCCTGGAGACAATCCATTCATAACCTGAAAGAAGCGTGGGAGATAATTAAAAGTAGCCTAGGATAGAGACAAAGGAAAAGGAAAAAAGATCTTCTCTAAACTTTAGCCTTACAACAAGGTAACACAACTGAACTACCGAAAACAGCTTGATTTATATGAGCTGACTACCGAAACAGTAGGAGATTACTGTAGTGACCAAGCCATGACTGCTACACGTGCACGCAACAAGAAAAGATTATATAGATTAGTGAGCCTAGTTGCCCTTCCCGTAACTACCGAAAGTACTTGTCTAGCGTACAGAAAAGAAGGAATTCTCTGATCTACCTACCTCACTCGACTAGCAAGAGAAGCAATTTTCTTTAATAAACCGCTTGACTAAACGAAAAAAAATACAGTGCACTAACGCGCACCCTATCTAAGTCAACCTTTCGAGCCCCTTTACTTTACTAGTAAGGGTACTTGGTTTAAGAAAGGAAATGAGGTGCTAGTCTCCGTTGATCACTTTCTTCATTGGAAAATCCTACAAGGATGCAATTTGGTGTGATGTCGTACCTATAACAGACCTAACCCCCACCAATAACTCTGTCACCGCTTGCTTGGGCAACCATGGCAATTCGATTGTAAAGTGATTCTCTTTATTGAACAAGAAAAGAAAGAAAAGAAAATGCATACCTCTTGGAAGGATGGTGCAAAGGCGGTGTTGTTGCCTCTGATCTTAAGGAAGGTGTCATTAGTGTTACAAGCTGAGAATTTGCTGACTAGGCAAAAGTTTCAAACGGAAGCTCGGGAAACAAGGCTAGGGTATAGAACTAAAGACGCTAACCCCTATTTCGAAAGGGCACTCCTATACCTTCCAAGGTTAGCAAATTGCTTGAAGAGTTCGCTGAACTTATCCCAAAAGAGTTACCTGCTGGATGAAATTCTCTGGATCAATTTGAGGGACCTTAGACATTATTTCAATATTAGATGTCTTTTATGCTATAAAATCTTAATATCAGGGACCCTAAAAAAAAACCCCTTTAGAATATACACCCTAGAAAAGGTGTATATTATAACTAGATCACTTTCCGTTATAACTACAAAAAAAAAAAAAAATAATAATAATGAGTAACAACCAAATATCACATAAAATATAATCAAAAATCTTTTCGATTATAACTAAAATAATAAGCATAATAGGTCATAACTAATATGATTAACACTACAACGAGTCATAATTAAGGAATAATTAACACCATAATAAATTATAACAAAAAAAAAACTATAAATATCATAATTTTAGAGTGTGTACTGTAAAATTTTCCAATATTGTATTAAGTATCATTGTGCCTAAAACAAAGACCCACGCTCTAGAGAATGAAAGAAAACAAAACAAAACAAAATTTGGCACTACCCTGTTGCTTTGCGTTGCAAATGGGCATGGCCATCTTTATTAGCAATTCGTTCCTAAACTTTGAAATATCAATGTGTTTATAAACTTTTTTGTACAAGTGTTTTGAGTGGATTTGACAGCTTTTTTCAGATATAGTCCAACGAGAAGTTATTTGGTAGTTCTAGGATGTGATCACGTAAGCCATGTTTGTTTGAACGGACATGTGCTTGGGATTGGACTAATAGCCTAATAAAATTATTAATCTGATGTTTGGTTAAAAATTTGAAGTATGGATTAACAATCCAGCCGGCTATGGTATCCCACATATGATGGACTATTTAATCCCACATAAAGGGTGTGATATAAATTAAGAGACTAAGTCAAAGTCTGGACAAACTTATGAAATAACCATAATAGACGTATTATGATCAATATATTGGATGTTTCATGTCCTGTCATGTCCTATCCATTCCAATCCTCCGAAACAAATATCAGATTGGATAATATTTTGTTAATCCTTCCTTATAATCCTGACTCAATTCAAACATAGGATAGGATACACAATCCAAAAGGATTTATTGTCCTAGGACTATTAGTCTTGGAAATGTTAATCCAACTTAATAGTCCGCCCAAACAAACATGGCCGTATTGTTTTATGTGTTGTAATTGATGGAGATGGTAGAGTTCTTAATTTTGTTTTGAATCATGACAAACAGCTACCCTGATGTTTGGTGTTTGATAATTGGTGATATACATTACCATGTGATGTTCCTGTACTACCAAATAATTTTTCTAGTTAGACAATCCAATGTAAATGGTGATGGCAGTGTTTTGAGTGGCAAAGGGGATGGTCATTTCCAAGTCAGGCGATAATAATTTTGGAATATAAATTTTACTGAGACTTATGTTCCATTTGTTTAGACATCACATATTTTTTAACCTAAAAAATTCACCTAGAAAATACTGTTTGGTTATTATATTTCACTATATAAAGTGAAGGTCAAGACTAACATAATCATAACTTGTACACCGTATCTTTTTTCATTTAACAATCCTACTTCGTTTCATTAAGAAAAAAAATGAGGTGGTTAGTATGCCTATTACACTTTCTTTTCTTTACCTTACAATATCAACCTGCTTTCTTTTATTTTTCCCCAACAAATCATTTGTGTTCACCAGAACAGAGCTCTGCATTACTCTAATTTAAGCATATGTTCACCATAAATGGTTCTACTTCTTGGCTTTATGATCAGTATGGTCACTTTTCTTATCCAAAAACAATGTCATGGAATGAGAGTACTACTGATTGTTGTTCATGGGATGGGATCAAATGCGACGGGATGACTGGTGGTCAAGTGATTGAGCTTGATCTTAGTTGCAGCCAGCTCTATGGCACCATCATACCGAACAACAGTCTATTTAGTCTCAGACACCTCCAGCGACTCAATCTCACCTTCAATGACGTCACTCAATCAAGGATTTCTCCTAGTTTTGGGCAGTTTTCAAGTTTGACACATCTCAACCTCTTGTCCAGTTTCTCTGGATCAGTCCCATCAGAAATCTCCCACCTATCTAAATTGGTTTCTGTAGACTTGTTTTCCTATTATTAGTTAGTCAAACTTGAGCCATACAATTTCCATGTACAGCTTCAAAACCTTGCCTAGTTACAATATCTTTGTCTTGCTCGCGTGAACATATCTTCAATTGTACCCATTTCCTTGATGAATCTATCTTCTTTGACATATCTATATCTTGAGCAAACCGGTTTGCAGGAGAAATTGCCAAATAAAATTTTCACTTGCCAAACTTGGAAGCGCTCAACTTAGGTTACAACCCTTATCTCGCTGGTTATTTGCCACAGGTAAATTGGACCAGTAGTGGTTCCCTTTCAATGTTACGACTCATGGGGACAGCTTTCTCTGGAGAGCTACCCGATTCCATTGGTTATCTCAAGTCATTAAAATACTTGTGTCTGGCTAATTGCAAATTCTCGGGGTCCATACCTATGTCCCCAGGGAAACTTGCTCAAATGGCTTATTTGGACATATCGGATAACAATTTTGAAGGCCAAATTTCCAATTCTTTTGCTAACTTGACACAAATGACTTACTTGTGTCTTTGTCACAACAATTTCAATGGTCAGGCCTCATCTATATTCTAAAATCTTGAGCAACTCTTTTACTTGGATATTTCATATAACTGTCTTGAAGGCCAAATTCCCAATATTGCCGACCTTTCAAAGGTTGTTTATTATACTCTAAGGCGAAACCATTTTATAGGTCAATTCCCATGTTGGATAGGCAACTTGACACAACTTGTTTGTTTAAACATTGGGTTAAATGAATTGACTGGCCTGATTCCCGCCGACTTAAGAGGGCTTTCAAACTTAACATATCTTTGCTCAGCTTATAACAGCCATACTGGGACGCTGCCGATTTGGTTGTATAATCTTCCATCATTGAAGTACTTATCACTTGCTTCAAATGAATTCACAAGTCAAATCTATGAATTCCAAAGTAAGTCATTGAATCATATTAATTTGTGCGGTAACAAGCTACATGGCCCCATTCCATCATTTTCTATGATCATCAATCTTTTCCTCTCAAAGAATACATTCACTGGAGAAATCCCATCAACAATTTGCAATGTAAGTTTCCTTGAGATACTTGATTTGTCTCATAACAGTTTCAGTGTTGTAATTCCACAATGTTTAGCAAACTTCAGCAATGTACTAAGTATCTTAGGATGAATAATTTTCATGGAAACATTCCATCCACATTTACAGAGGGAAACAAGTTGAGGAATATTGATTTAAATTGTAATTAGTTGGAAGGTAGGGTGCCACGATCCTTAGCAACATGTAGACACTTTGAGGTTCTAGACGTCGGAAACAACAAAATAAACGACACATTCCCCTACTAGTTGGAATTTCTTCCAAAGTTGCAAGTCTTAGTCTTTAAATCCATTAAATTCCATGGTCCTGTGGACTCTTCCAGAGTTGCAAGTCCTAAGCTTCGAATCTTTGACCTCTCTCACAACGAGTTTAGTGGCCTTTTGCCAACAACATATTTCAAGCATTTTAATGCTTATGAAGATGGTCGATGAAAAGGTGGAAAGAAAATATATGGGGCTATCCTATTATTCTAATTCAGTGACCATCATGTTGAAGGGGAATGAGGTATTATTTCCAAGAATTCTAACCATCTTCATGACAATTGATTCATCACACAACAAATTTAGAGAAGAGATTCCAAATGTCATCGGAAAACTTCATGGACTTCGGTTGTTTAATTTATCTCACAACAATCTTATTAGCAATATCCCTTCATCATTGGGAAATCTATGTTTTCTTGAATCGTTGAACCTCTCTTCAAACCAACTTTCTTGTAAGATTCCTAGCCAATTGACAAGTTTGGCATTTCTTTGTATGTTAAATTTTTCACAAAATCATCTCGAGGGTCGCATACCTCAAGACAACCAATTTGAAACATTTGAAAATAGCTCGTACAATGGGAACCTAGCATTACGTGGATTTCCACTATCGGAGGAATGCGGGGATGTTAACACACCGCAACTGCATCCAACACCTATGTTGCATAAGGAAGATGATCCAACTTTTGCAAGTGAATTTCATTTTAATGTGGTAGGGATGGGGTACGGATGTGAAATGGTATTGGGATTGGTAATGGGATATCTTATGTTCTTAATCAGAAAACCAAAATGGTTTGTAAGAATTGCTGAAGGAAAACGACAGAAGAAAGGGAAAAGGTCACACAAGAGCGGTGACACGATGGAAGAATAAAGTAGAAAACACAAATGGCGTCTCAGGTAAGTACCCTTTCTCCACCCACACTTTTTTTTTTCTTTTTTTTTTCATTGTTACTGTATTGGATACATAAGAAAGGGATTAGTTTAATCATTTCAATTAAATGTAAATTTTTGCCTCAAATTTACTACTGAATTTTCATATAAGCTCACCCAAAGGGGTTATTCTCTATCCACTTTACCCTATGTTCGCTATATTTTCTAGCTGATGAAACAGGTGCCATCATTTGAAATTGTAGTTTTTGCAGGTAAACAGAGAAAGAGGCTGAATGTGAAACACTGGAACCGCTGCTCTCTATCAAGATTCAGGAGTTGTTTTTTATCAAAATATTATGCTCTAGTGAAGTGAATTGTATTTGATGTTGTACGGCCTGTCATAAATTGTTACTTCTATGTTAGAACTTCTTAAAACTTAATATTTTTGTTGGTTGTATAATTTGTAAAAGCCAATCATAATTTAACGCGTGGCACGAAGAGGGCAATGTGGGGCGTTAACACAAATTGCCAATCAAAATCAGACACGTGGCAGTTCGTATTGGTAATAATGGATCTGCATAGCATTGGAACAATCGAGAGATATAAGATGATATGGCCTAACGATTACTCACAAAGTTTAAATTCAAATCAGGAGGGAAGCACTGCAAGAGTGATGTAGTGGGACTGACTATGAGAGAGCATGTTCAGCAATCATGGGAGGACATTTCGACGGTTATCGTGAAGAGTATAAACAGCAAAGAAGGCCCTAGAATGAAAGCCCCAAACTCAGATCAAAAAACCAGTTTATTTACTTCATTTTCTTTCCAGTTTTACAGTTCTTTACATTTTTGTACTTCAATTCTTGTACTGCACTTCATTTCCTATGAATAGTTTCAAATAGTTTGTTACTGTGAACCTCTACAAGGCTGGGTCAGATCATTGTAAGTTTTCATTTACTTAATGAAATTTAGATTCTGAAATTGTTCTTCACCTGTTGTTATTTACTAATTTCTCCTAAACAAGCCACCAGTAAAAGTCCTCTTAATTGAGGCTGAAAGAACTATAATGCAATCATCTGATAATTGGTTGGCAATTAATATTTTGTAAGGACTAATTGATCCTTGCTGGCAAGCTTAAATTTACATTATTAACCTTCGACAGCCAAAAAGCCAATATATATTTTTGACACGCCCAGTGGGACCCTAAAATAGCTAGACATAGGAGATAAGAAGAAAATGAACGCCTGGAAGAAGGTGTGGAGGGAGATGTAAAAGTACCTGATCCAGAGGATAATGTGATAACATATTCCATGGAAACACCTTTCTCATCAGAACCTATGGTCGAACAGACCAGCAACTCTGAACATGCACCACATATTCATAATATTGGACGAGGCCATGGAATTGGACCATCCACTGTTTCGTCTACCCAGCCAATGAATCTGTGGGGAGGCTTGGTAGATGCTATGGGACAACAGTTGATGTATACAATGGAAAGATGGGCAACATCCTTCATGGATCGAATGAATTCCCATCAACCAACTATCACAAGGCATATGGAGGAAAATTCAAATGTTCTTTAACAAAGATTAGCTAGAGATAAACAACCTATGCAAAGTAATGGATATAATAATGGTCAGACTAGTAATCAAAATTATGAAAGACTATCACCTATACCTCAATCATGGTATGAGCCTTTTTCGAGGCCTTGGTAAATCAAAATATCGCATTACCTAACAGCGAAGCCATATAAATTGGTGGATCTAGGCCAACACAAGAAAATGGCATGAGAATGTTTTCAAATCCCATGTTCGAAACCATGTCTGGCACAAGGGGGTTCACTAACCCTTTGTTCGAATTCACACCTGGCAGTTGGAAGGGTTTCCTTCGGCTAGGAGAGAAACAACACCTATTCCTCCTCTTGCAGCACATTTCGTAGGTTTGTTCGCAGGACAGGCTCAGAGAGGTCAACCATACCCTCAATAGCAACCAGTACCACAGGGACAGTCAGTCTCAAATATACCTCCCTATGGATCAAGAGCACCTCAAGCATATGGGATTTCACCAAACCCTGTGTTTGTTCCTCCACTAGTAGTCCAACAAGCACAGAATATGGTTCCTAGGGACCAAATTGTTGATATTGTCAAAGAGATGTATGGACTTATGGCTCGGGGGGTTCAGACTCTTGTATATAGAAAGCCATACGTAGAATGGGTAGATAAGGTGCATGAATACCCAAGGGGGTTTAGAATACCAGACTTTGGTCTCTTTTATGGAAATGGAAACTAGCCAACAGTAGAACATATTGACAGGTTCACAGGCCAATGTGTTGAATTTACCAATAATGATTATATGAAATTGAGACTCTTTCCAAATTTCTTAGCTGGGTTAGCCTTTGTATGGTATATTAACCTTACGCCTGGCTCTATCCAAACTTGGCAGCAAATGGAAAAGGCATTTCACGCCCAGTACTTCCAAACTGAACCTGAAGTTTCCATGCCAGATTTGGCAAGGTTAAGCCAAAGGCCTAATGAGAAAGTTGCTCAATTTATTGCCAGATTCAAAAGGCCACGAAACAAGTGTAGGGTCATTTTACTAGAGCCTGAATTTGTGAGATTGGCTCAAAATGGTTTAGAGTTTAGGCTTCGAAAGAAGTTCTATTTCACTGATTTTCGAGACTTAGTAGAATTAATCTATATGGTGTCTAGATATGAATCTTTACTTAAAGAAGAACAGGATCAAAGTAATGCATCATATAAGACTTATTATAGGGACCCTAATTATGAAATTCATACAACAGAGATCATAAGGAAAGAGCCTATGACCTGGGAGGCGTTAATTCATAAGGACACTACAATAGACTAGAAGTTTAAAAAGAAAGACCTTCATAGGAAGTATTCTTTTGATTTAACAAAAGCAGCTGACATTTTTGATCATTTGCTTGCAGCAAATTTCCTAAAGTTACCAAAGGGAGTTAAGATCCTTGCCCCGGAAGAACTTAAAGAGAAAATGTACTGTAAATGGCACAACTTTTGGTCTCATTCAACTAAAAGCTGTATTGTTTTTCGGGACAAGATCCAAGAACAGATTCGAAAGAGGAGTTTAAAGTTTCCAGCTGAAATAGAGAAAGCTATGGGATTGACACCAACCCGTTCCCAGAGATTGGAGAAGTTGCAGCCAATGTTTGCGTGCCAGATTTCCAAAACCTATCCTTGAAGGAATTGGAGGAGGTTAATGTGCAGATGCATGTTGCCAGCAGGCTGCTTTCAAGAAGGATACCAGAAGTTCACCAGAAAATGGACAGAGCTTTATAGACCAAAAGGATGACTCTAGTGAGGAAGCACTAGATGATGAATCTCTTGAGGTAGCTATCATGCAACGGATGTGTCCCAGATGCAGGTTAAGTTACAAATGGCTGAAAGGGCTCCCAATTGATGGGAAACAATATTATAAGGATGTATAAAGACGCCCTAAGCCAACCAATACCTACAACAAGAGGCCATACCCAACTGGTCCCAAACAGCAGCCATTCTTGGCTGGACCACCAGCTACTAGAATGCAATCCAAGGGTAAGAGACCTATGCATGAGTTCAGACCACCCAATTGCTACATGTTGGAAGGCAATTATCCTGAGAGAAGGCCCGAATTAGGCTCAAATCAGGCAATCAGAGCCAGTTATTGGCCTCTAAAGTCAACTTCGAACAAGATGCAAGGCAACTACCTTGAAAGAAGGCCTGAATTAAACTCAAGACAAGTTGCTAGAGGAAGTGACTGGCCTCAAAAGTTAGCTTCGAAGGTGGCTTCGAAGACTGGGAAAGCAAGTTCAGCAACTGAACTAATGAGTTTATGGGTACCTAGGGTGCCAGACTGGTTTGTTATGCAGAACAAGCCTAAGGAAATACTTGCACAGTGAAGTGTCTTTAGAGACCATTGTAGAATGATTAAACCTCCATTGGTGGCTCCAAATAATTAGGTATTACTCAAGCACCCAAAAACAAAAGAACGAGACATGGTTCCAGTAATCTCTAGGTCTCAAAGGAGAAAGATCCAGCGAAGGTACGCCCAGTACCAAAAGGATCTAAAAGAAAGTGAAGAGAGTTCTTCATTGCCCTAGTCAAAAGGCCAGACAGAGGAAAAAGAAAGTCCAAAATTGACTCCTCGAAACAGAAGAAGTGTTGGCAGAGAGTAGTTGGCTAAGGTTCACACTGAACTGAAAGCCAAGGAAAGATCTAGCTTAGCAGGTCTTTAAAACGCCTTCATGGAAAGCGACAATGAGACAGAAGAAGAAGTTGAACTAGGCCAAAGGAAAGAAATGGTTGAAGATGAGGTGTTTGAAGCCTTCATGGCTGAACAGACCTTCTTGGTCGAAAAGCCAACGGAAGAAGACCACAATTGAGTTGATTCGAAGGAAGTCACTAGTACTGAGGTAACAGAGTGCAGCATGGAAGATGCTTCCGAAATAACTGAACAAGTTAATTTGGAAAAGAAGTAAGTGCAGCCAGCAGTTCAGTTTGGCTCATTTCCTCCAGTGTTAGTAAACATGGTATATATATTTCCATAGGAGTTCCAGGCTAAAGATGGAAACCAAGAAGGTCAGGAAGATGACCCTATTCTAGCTTCTAGTGAAGATTCACAGGTTAGCATGATTCAAGATGAGTCTGAAGTGGCCACACTAATGGAAACTGAAGATGAAAGTGAAGAGGTGAGATTAATCTCTTGTATCCCTTTGTGTACCCTACAACATCTATGACGCAGCATGTTAAGCCCTTGTACATCAAGGCTTATTTCGATGTGATACAAATAAATAGGGTGTTAGTGGATAATGGGGCAGCAGTGAACCTGCTTCCAAAGTCCTCTTTGAAGAAATTAGGAAAAAGAAACCCCAGATTAATCCCAACCAGCACAACCATTGTTGGCTTCGTTGGGGACAAGTAGATGGCTCAGGGTATCCTGCCCCTCAACTTGAGTATGGAAACCAGAGATTGCATGATAGCATTCTTTG